AAACGGCTCGATCTTCTCTAGCTTCCCTTCCCCATTGTACCCTTTTGCACATGTCACCTTGAGGTGGTGGCAGAACTCTTTCGTGCACTCCGTGCTCTCCGAAGGAAGCAACGCAGAACACACTGTTAGCATCCTCTTTTCCACCGGTGAGTAGGTCGACAATCGCATAAGGTACTCCGTTGGAGAATCCGACACTTTTTGACTGTCGACGTACGCCACCTCCCCGTACAAGTCCTTTCCAGGAACGGACATCCTCATGGCTGTACCAAGCCCTGATCCCATCCCCTCAACGCTCATCATGAATGTGCATGGTACTTGGCCGCTTCCTTTCGGAACCTGCTCCGGCAGCTGCAAACAAACACAGTATTCTGAATCATGAAGACAGACAACATAGTAACTTTGTACCCTGCACAATATTTCTTTCTCAGAATTCATTCCCTCAACGTACAATGATGGACCCTCTCAAAAAAAGAGTGCTTACTATCGAAAGTCGTACACTGTATCACGCGCTTACCAACACGTGCTGTATAAGCTTGAGCGGCGAGCGAGCCATGAAGTCCAACTCTCCATACTTCTGGGAGAAGTCGCTCCCGGAATTTCTCCGAGCGGCTCGACCAAGCTCGAGCAACTGCCTCGCCTTTCCCATGTCCGTCAACGGCCGAATCTTCTCAATTAGCCTGCACATTGTACACCGAAAAAGGTTCAGATTCTATGATCAAGGCTTCTAATCCAACAAGTTTGCTTCTGCAATTTCAGTATAGATATTGATTTTAGGTAAAGTCCCGTTCAACGGGACTTCACAGCATCGATGGTTGTACAAAAAACTTACTCCGCCAAGTCTTCACCCTTCTCTACCGCAGCTTTCAACGCTTTCTCCACCTCGCCGTCCCTGAACCGTACTGCAGACTGCAAACACGGAAACAAATATTAGCATATTGAGGTCTTAGTACCTTTGATAAACAACTATTAACCTTATTTAAAAGGCAATCATCATCTATGAAACAGAGAATTAGACAATCTTACCTTATTCGACTCTCCTCCTTCTTTCAATGCACCGACCACGAGTTTCTCAACGTCTTCACCCCTTAACGCCTCCTCGAGCTCGTGATTGTGTTCTCCACAATGCACCACCATCATCTCCTCCTTTCCACGGACTACGATTTTCCTTGCCTTACATTCTATACCTGTACTAACCGCGAGTTGAGGACAAAAAGCGCAGACTCTCTTCCCAAACTCGTCAACTTTCTTGAATACCCTCGTGTTTCTACGGCCTTTATCCCTAGCATACCAGCAGGAGTCATTCTGGCAAACGTAACCTCCATAACAGCCAAACGACCTAACACTTTCTATGTTCTCAGCATCAATGCTGAGTGCGTAACTAGTCTTCCAGTGACTGCCTTTGTCCTCGGCTCTGTCTATCAGAGATGCAGATAAGTCTTTCACAAAAATGCAATCTCCTTGTAAGGGATAGGGAACGTGAGCAACTACTGGAATAGAAATGTCGTCCTTCTCGTATTTCGAAATAACGTCCTTCAATGCAGACGCTCTCTTTAGACCGCGCTTCAACAAGGCCGCTCCAACAATACTATCTCTCACCTTAATTTCATCTCCTACTCTGTACGACTGCCTTCTCTCTGCTTCCTGTCCTGTGTGACAAATTCCCGCCTCCTTATCTTTAGGGACCTTAAACACGGATTCCACTTCTTCTTCTCTAGCCCTCGCGCTGGTTCTCGCCCGGCCGCTGCTTGCACGAGAGTCCAGCTGTAAGGTTGTCCTGCTTTTCGCACCAGTGAGGAGCGAGCCCCCGCTTTGCCTACGAGCTAGAGTGTCCAAAAGGCCCCCTTTCGACTTGACACTGACGCTTGCCGCCTGCGAGCATCTCGTTCGCCCCTGGATACCTGACGTGCCAACACTCAACCGCCTGCGCGTCGAATCTTCTAGAGAGCCGGACGAACGGTTTACAGCTCGGGCGCTGCGGATGCCCTCCGCTAAGTAGCATCCTGGGCTCAGGCAATACACGAAGCGCCCGTCGAGCCACTCCGTTGATTCGTCCGCTCTACCATTCTCCCGACGCAATGTGACACTGCCCACAAAGTCCGCACCGAACAGTTTCACCGACAGCACATCCTCCGTGACAATCGCCGACCCCCCAGGCGGTGCAAGAACAGCGTACTCTTTGCCGTTATCACCACGAATAACGACATCGAGCTGGCTTTCGTCGTCGCTACCCTGCTCGATGTTTGAGGTCGACAACGATGGGCGGCTCCCTTTTGTCGGGGTGATTGGGACCGAGTCAGGAAGGTGGCTGGACGCCCGGGAACGGGGGGGGCTCGGTTTGCGACCGGGGGCTAAAGGCGTCAGGTACATCTGAGCGCCTTCGGAAGCACTCTTCCGAGCCCCTTGGACGGAAACTTCGTCCGTGGTCACGTTCCGAACGGCCAAAGAAGGCGCGCTCCTTGCAGGATTGGAACCCTTTCCCGGACTTGGGTCGCGGTTCAAGAGAGCGTTCAGATAGGAGGACGATGACGACGCCATCTTCTGAAAGAGAGAGAGAATTCTTTGTTAGAACTCCCGTTGAACGGGAGAAAAGAAAAGTGCACCTATCGAGTTTTTCAAATACTCTTTCTACCAAGTAATGCTATCGAGATTTGATATCGGAGCTTGGAGAAAAACGAGACAGTAACATTTCAAAGATTTGCAATGGAAGGAAAGGTCCCGTTGGACGGGACTTTTTGCAACAGCACAGATAAAAAACATTCAGCGAAGCACGCTGATAACGGATCGTTTGAGACTTTGACAATAGTCCCGTTAAACGGGACTACATGCCAGTGCAGAGCACATTCAGGATTTTGTGAACAGTTATAAAAGTCCCGTTAACAAGGACCCAAAACATATATACTAACCATTTTAGATACCCTCAAGACAAGATTTTCAATGCATAATTCCAGTTGAACGGGAGTACAAATACGTCCAGAAATGAAAATTATATGAAAAAGGGGCGTATCAGAAGCTGACGTCAGCGTGACGTACCGGGCTGCGCGAGGACTGCCAATGTCGACAATGCAACAATGAAAATGACGAATTATGTGGATCAAGCCGTTCTATCAAGTGGCTGAAATGCGTACCTAATCAAAGTGTGTACATGGCTGCAGCCCTAAAAAAAGCAGTCATCCATCGTCCATTCCAGAGCCACGTGGCTTGCTACGCAACCAATTAGAGGGCCAGAAAGGGGATCTTATCTTGTCCGGACCAATCAGAAGGCAGAGTATCTCATGGTTGAACTACAGTCTGAAAAATCTAACATTGTAAAGTACACATTGCAGTGTAACAATATACATAATGTGTCCCAGGAGACTCTACGGCCAGCCACCTCCCGTCCGACAGGGGTCTTCCTAGGAACTCCTAGGAACTTCCTCATTTCCACGGTCGTTGGGTAGAGAGGGTCCCTTTTTGGTGCACGCGCGTTTCGAGCAGCTTGGCTGCGGTAACGGTTGCGTTACCGCTCCCAATAATTGAATTCTGAAATTTACTGTTCTGGAGAGTCCCGTTGCACTGCGCGAGCGTGTAAAACCCTTAGCGCGGCCGCGAAGCGTTCTGAACGGTAGGTAGCTAGCTGCTGGCTTTGAAGATCATTTCACGCAACCGCCTTGGCCATTTAGTCCCGTTCAACGGGAGTTTTCTCTAAAATGGAGTTGCAATGTCATTGAAAAGATGCCGCGATGGAACTACAGCCGGCATACTAGAGTGGTTTGCAGATTTCATATACCCAGATTTTCAACCTGGCCTTGATGAGGCTGTTCTGTGGCTGCGCTCAAATCCAAGAGCAGAGGGTTCATTTTACGGTCTTCACCTGCTGAGGTGTGGAAAACGGTGGTTCTTCAAGCGAGAGATCCTCCTGCAACAGCAGCTTGCTGAACTTAGTGAATCTAGTGAAAGCGAGAGTGAGACCGACAGTGAGTCTGACTCTGGATACAGCGATTGTGTTATTGTCGAACCAAACATGGAGCCCCAGGAGGAAGGGAACCCGTCCCAGCTTAGAGAAGGCACTCAGGTAAGAAACAACCTCTCCAGTTTTCCTCCCGTTCAACGGGACTTTTTGAAAGGAGGAAGTTACCTACTAGAAATTAGAGTGAGCTTACAAGTCATAGTTCTGCGCAGATGTCGGGTTACATTGTGAGGTTTCTTGTCAGGTTCTGCACAGTTTTCTCAGTCCACGAGGTAAAGTGTGTTGACAATGTCTACCGAACATGTTGACTGGTATGCAGAACTACATTAATACTGTCAATAAGATAGACACCTGAAGACTGTAACTGGAGTATATCTGTTCCCAGAATATCTGTCAATCAGGTAACCCTGATTATGCACAGAGCTGTATGCATGGTGTGTGTGGCTGATGTTTCTGCTCGTTATGTTAGGTCCCGCTGAACGGGACTTTTCTGCAGCTGTATTTGGGAAAAGTTTGTTTGATCAGATTATGAATCGGTCTGTTGTGTGGATTTTCTCTATCTGATATCTATCGTAGTTTGTACAGTCTGTATATCTTGAAGGTATCCAGTTTTTTCTGGATAAGAGTAGAGTGCAAGCTGCGTTTCTGCATGACATTCTTCAATTGAACCAGGTGTGCCCGATTAAGTTAGTCCCGTTGAGCGGGACTAAAGCAAAACCAAATGCATCTCTATGGTGTGAACAATAATATGTTTTGTCTAGATCAAATGACTCAAGGTAATCAGAAGGTTCCCTGGTTCAATGCATGGAGTTTTGGATTTGAAGGCCTGTCTGGTCGGACGCTTGAAGAAACTTGTTTTGAAACACAGTTTCAACACATTATTCCATTCAATTTCAGTCAACTGCTCTGCCAGGCTGCCGCAAACGAAGGAGCCACCAGTGCCCCATCAATGACTGCATCGGACAGTCAGGTAAGTTATTAAATCAACTAGACTAGACTTCCTGGACTTCCAGTCTTGTTGAATTGAAATCTCTCACAGAGTTTGAACTGGCTGAAGGTGCCACGAGTGCTTGTATGATCTGCTGATCTACTTCGTGATGAGTCGTGTCAAATGGAAAAAAGGGGTACTCTGAGAATATATGCTTCTCTTTTCATCATGATGGGGTTCAGATCTGAACAATCATGACAATTTTATCTGAACTGGGCAAGGTGTAGGTCTTCGAAACTGGAAATTCTATTCGACAGTATGTATAGATTGAAAGCACCAATCTCAATCCATGTCTTGAACATTGCACAGGTTCCAGCTACCGCCGCTGCAAACCCTGATTTCATGGCAGCTGAGCTGGACGATGAGCCAATGAATCAAGCTGCACTGAATGACCAGGTAAGTACCTGAATGGGTTCCTCAGTGAAGTTTAGAACTGCCTCTGCCTGCTTTGAGCATTTGCTCTTTTGAACAATCGGTTATGTCAATATAGATAGTGGTGACGTTTGGTCTGATGACATCTTTGCCTGTCCAGATTGACGACACCCTGAGAGACCTTGAACAGCTCAACGACGCTGACTTCGGAGAGCGATCAAATTGGCAGGTAAGAATCATTAACGCTGACCTTGCAACTACTGGTGTCAAGCGAATATTGAGCAAGCTCTAGCTTCTGTGTCTGTAATTGATGTCCGATTGCTATCGTTCATTCAGATTTTATGTTTTCTAATCATCCTTCATTTTCTGCAGCCCGACTCTGTTGACGAGCCGAATCCAAAACGCATCAGATTCGGTGCGCCCGGGAAGGCCCTGGGTTCAGCAACCGGCCTGGGCACAGCGGCACCTCTGAAGGTGCGTAGCTCTTTGCACGGGAAAGATCGTGAAGACCACTGTCTAACTCGGTGTGCTCGATCGCGCTCGATCGTGTTTGTTAACATCCATCAGACTAACCTGTAATCACGAGCTGAGAGTATTGAAAGGTTAAATTTCTGGTAAGAAAAGCATGATTGTAAGCCGTGTGCATTGTAAAGATTGATGACATGATTGTTCGCTATGAACTCTTCTGCAGTGCCTTGTGAAAATTGTTGGTCCCTTATCCTGGTTCCTCACCACGCAATCATTAAAGGCTTCTCCTGTTCGTTTCGATGCAGAACGCGATGATGAGCGTCCCCATGGACCCCTCGCTTCGGCCGACAGAACCGGAAAAAAGTGACAGTGATGAGGAGACTGAAGACGACGAGGACGAGAAGGACGACCCGACGTTTGGTGCAGTTGTAAGCATTTATCTCAACTTACTGTTACTAATGTTTGTACGCAAA